CATGCAGACGGGTGGTCCTGAAGGGAAATTCGTCAAGTACCAAAATGGAGGCAGGTGGGGAGACGCTGGGCAACTTGGAATGGGGGCAGGGTTTGGCAAGGCAGCAGGAGGATGGGAGGGAAAGCACTCCACAAAGGCAAGCAGCAGAATTGGGTGACGAGGCAGGAATGAGTGTGCCTTGCACCACATGGGCGGCCCAGGGAAGGGTGAGCCCTGCTGGAAGAGGAGGGTGTGAGCTGTGGCCCTAGAGTGTGAAACCAGGCAGGGCGGTAGCTGGGGTGGGGCCTCTGGAGCCAGGTGGAGGTATCAGCCTTGATGTCAGAGATAGTGGGAAGCTGTTAGGTCCTTAGGCCAGCAGCCAGTCAACCAGGCAGCCACCGTCACCCCATGCCCTCCAAGTTCCAGGTCTGTGCCAGGGGATGGAAAGACTCAAACAAGAAGCCCCAGAGCTCGTGCTTCCTGAAAATATTTACTGACCACCCACTCTATGCTCAGAAAGGTAATAATATGGGATGATTATGGAAAAAATCTCTTGGTTCCCAGGACGCCACCTTCTTATCGGTTCCTTGCAACCTCACTGACTATTTCTTCTCAGTCTCTTTTGATGGCTCTTCTCCTCGGCCGGGCATCTAAAGGAGAGCGCAGACTTCACCCCTTCTCTTCTGTGTCTTCACCCCTTCTCTTCTGTCTCTTCACCCTATCCTTTGGAGATCTCATCCAGCTCCATGGCTTTAAGAACCATCACTGTCCTGCTTTGTGTATTCAAATAGCTTACCCCAACCTGTCTCCCGAATTCCAGACTTGTATTTTCAACTGCCCGTCTGACATCTCCACTTGGATATGTATGTCAAATTTAAAATGTGCAAGACAGAAATCTCCAGTTCCCTCCACCCTAACCCTGCCTAGTGTTCCCCAGCTGAGTAAGGGTACCTCCCTGTTATTAAGGCAAAAACCTAGGGGGCATCTGGGATTTCTCATTCAATGTCCAATCTATCCACGAGTCCTGTAAACTCTACCTCCAGAAAAATCCAGAATCTGTCCACTTCTATGTCCAGTACTACCACCCCTAATCAAGCCACCACCATATCTCTCTGGGCTCTAGCAAAGGCCTCCTCACTTGTCTCCCTGTTTCTCCTCTGTCCCCTAGGCAATCCATTCTCCATGGACTAGCCAAAGCGATCTGTGTAAAACACAAAACAGATAAAGTTGATCCTCAGATTAAAGCCCTCCAATGGCTCCCCACTGTGTGCTTCAGAACAAAATCAAAGCTGCTTCCTGCAGCATCTGGCCCAGCCAGTCTTTGGCCTCAATTTGGGCCACTGACTTCCTCTCTTCCCCTGCTTTCTGCTCTCCAGACAAACCGGCTTTCTGTTTCTAGAACACACCAACCTTGTGCACTTTAGGACCTTTGTACTTAAAATTTACTCTCTCTGGAACACTTCTCCTTCAATCTTCTTATCATTCAGATCTTAGTTCAAATGTTACCATCCTACCTAATGCCTCTCCCTGCTGCAAATTACTTGCTATCACAGATTCTGTTCTGATATCACTGATATCAGAAATAGTCATATATTTATTTATTGTCTGTCTCCCCTATTAGAATGGAAATTTTATGAGCACTGGATCTTGTCTGACCTGCTCAGTGCTTTATCTCCCACTCCTAGAACAATACTAGGCACATAGTGGGAGCTCAATAAATATTTGTCCAATGAATGAAAAAATGCCTCAGATGTGGTTCCTGGTCTTCTTGAGGAAGGATGACATGCCACAGGAAGAGTTACCTAGAAATACAGGGTAGGAAATGGTAACTCCCTTTCCTGAATGGAGTCATTTACAGCTAATCTGATGAGCTGACATTTACTAAATTGTTGCTGGATGGCAATATGCTGCCCAGTAATGGGAGCCTCTAACTGGAAAGACAAAGGCCTGTTGCACAGGGGTGGCGCTGGAGGGAACACTTCAAGGACCAAATGGAGGGCAGATGAGGAGCTACTTGAAGATCGGTGGGTCCTGTTCTTCCCTCAAAATCTGCTACATAAGTAATCAAGGACTCTACTGTCGCCAAATATGCACACAGCCCCCCAATCCCTCTTATCTCCCCCATACATAAATACACTCCCTCTTGCAGAGCTGAACGTGACTCTTTTTATCTTGTTAAGATATTTCACAAAGGTCTTAGGGGATGACCAATTGACCAGTCTCTGAAATTTATAAAAATAAAGCACTTATAAAAACTCTGGCCTTTCACCATAAATCCCAATAAATTATGGCACATGCACACAATGGAATATTATTCAGCCATTAAAATGGTAATTATGAAGTTTAGGTAGCAACCTAGAAAATATCCATGACTATAATTTTAGGCTAACTGCCCCCCAGCCCCGGGAATAGATATAGTATAAATATTAAAAAGACAACTATATAAACATTATATAAGAAAAAAAAAAAGACCGAAGGGGAATATTTATTATATTGGGTTAATGGGATTATGGTGGGCTTTCCCTTTGTGCTTTCCAAGCATTTTTAGAAATTACTTTTACAGGGCCGGCCCGGTGGCGCACTGGAGAGTGCGCTGCTTGGGAGCGCGGTGGCGCTCCCTCTGAGGGTTCGGATCCCATGTGGAGACCGGTTCCCG